ATTTGTATATTATATATTTCATTAGCAGTTTAATAATTTAAATGGATAACTCACCCTATCGAAGATATTTAAATTATTATTAATAATCTCAAAGTAAAAGTCGAAAAATTATTTTCGTCTGTGAAATCATGCCTCAAAATGATGGCCACCTATGGTTAAACAGCCAGTATCTTTCTATATTCCTATGCACGCTCACAGTGTCTTTAGATATTCTTATGCCTCGAGCTTCCTTATTTTCAGAGTTTTATATCGCTGCATATTTCCATTTTCACGCTCGCTCAACTCCAGCTTCCATTGGGTTTACATGTACCTACATATACGCGTGTAAATATACGTATGTACATATGTGTATGCATACACGAGTTTGAACTTTCACGTTGCACTTTCCCGCCTTCGCATATCCATATTTTTATACTTCTATCATCCAGTTCTCTTCATCGCCTATCGGGCATTATCGCCACGGGCGCTTTTAACACATTCGCGGCTGCATATAATTTTCCGAAGTCTACAGGGAAATACCACAAGGATCTGCTGTTCAAATGTGTATGAATATAAAATATGTATATGACAGAACTATGTAGTTAATACTTAACTATAAATTTTGAAACGACGTAGGATTAAATGGCTCGCATTCTTCGTAGGATTATTTTAACAGAAATCATTTAAAGAAATTAAAAATTACTAAGGTACAAATATTCAGTGAAATAATTCAAAATAACATAGGATTAGGTTACCGGAGTTCAACTAAAGGATTTAAAATTACGTAAATCTACGTTATTGGAATTCAGCTAAAGAATTCAAAAATGCGTAGGACTACGTTATTAGTATTCAGCTAAAGAATGTAAAATAATGTGAAACTACGTTATCGGAATTCAGTTAAAGAATTCAAAATGACATAGGACTTGGTTATCAGTATTCAACTAAAGAATCTAAAATGATTTAGCACTACGTTATTTATATTCAACTAAAGAATTTAAAATAATGTGAGACTACGTTATTGATATTCAGTTGAATTTAACATGACGTAGGACTACGTTACCGTCTCGAATGCGTGAACTTGCGCGATATAATAGCACGTTCCAGAACGACAATACAACCGAATAATCTTTACGTATTACTGGCTGCATCCACGGCCGGCGACAGGTTTACGAGACAAGTAAACACCAATGGCGTCTCGCAACCCCACAAATATTGGAACTTTCCCGTGGAGGAAGCAGTCTTGATGTTGCGACGCGTCGCAGCGGCTTGACACATCCTGTTACCAAGATGTCTGCCTTCTAAGCCGAGCATTTCTCGCGCGTTGTCTCCCATCGATCGGCACCGCTGAATTCGAACGATTCAAGGGGGACGATTGTACGGACGGCATTGATCTCTAATTGAGTTATTAAATATGCGAGAGGTTCTTTACAGCCATGGTTCGTTGTTCCGGTGGAATTTTGATTGAAATTTGTAATCAACCATCTGTTAATCAAGATTGTGTTTAAATATAATTTTCCTTCTTTACTTGCCTTTGATTTATTTTGCTATCAGACAGTAATTATCGTTAGCAGTTAAGTTAATAATTAAGATGCACTGTCAAATGTTATTGAAATTTTATTTCTCTGTTTATATTATATAGAATATTCAACTGTAGTAAATGTTTTAGATGAACCTGTGCAAAAAATAGGACAAACATGAAGAATCAAGAAGTTGCAATTTCTGCTTCGTTTTCGAGTTCTAACGATTCACAGTGCATTTTAATTTTCTGTTCACTATAACTTGTAGAATTACTTTTCAAATTACATCATATACATCTACCGAAACAATATTTTTTATTAGCAATAATACTCCTATATTACAGAGAAACAAGCATTCATCTTAAACAATAATAAACAACTTTCATTTTACCATAATACTGAAACCAAAATAATTCCAAATGAAAAACATCGAACATAAACCAACACATTTCAGAAGATCGTAGCAGTAATTGGCAGTAGGCGAAAACTGCGAAATCGGTAGTTTGGTACGTGACCGTGCGACCAATTTCGCTGATGCATTCGATAAACAAGCCACTTAATTCCGATTATTATCAGGGCACGGGGCCAGAAGAACAAATGGCAAGGATTCGATTGAACACCGTTCGTCGTACAATGGTACCCGTGCGGCGTGCGTCGTATCGATTACGGTTGCCTAGGAATTCCGCGACAGACGAGCTATTCAAATGTATATAAAGGCAGCTGGGGCGGCCGAGATGAATTTCCGCATCGGATATTTTCGAACGGTCGCAGTCGGGGTCCTTGGCTCGTCACGAGTAATTCATTCCGGACAATGGACGAGAAATCAACGTTTACGTTGTCCGTGTACACGGCCATTTTACCGAGCGCTGTGTGGACGTCGACGTTAAAAATTAATCGAGAGACTCGACTCGACTGGCCGGAAAGTCACGTGCGCTGGCCAAGTTATTGTTAATGGCTCGTAGTACGTGTCCACTGGGGGAACGGTCTTCGATTGATTGCACTTCTACAGTGGCAAATACAGCTTTCTAAACGCGGATGACTCATTGCTTCCGCCGAATGTTCTTTACAGTTCCTTTGGACGCCATTACGCGGAGCGACGGTGTGGTTCATTGATGAAACCGCGATCGAAGATGAGGTTGAATAATGCTGAGACAAACACAACTAGGATAATTCTGGGTACGATGATCTGATCTCGTTTAGATCGTCGATTATTTTCAAGTGATTCTAGTGGTATACTGAACTTATACGTATATATTTTCTGTTTACTTATCCTTACAAAGAAAGTTATCGAACCCGGAAATTCAAAATATTATGAAACTTTGTATGTAAGTAGAATAAGTCAAGTCTAATACATTGCAATTTTTTTCGTGCCGAATTTCATTTTGAAGGTATGATTCACTCCTTGAAAAAAATGCAAATTTTTCTTTCGTGTGGATTATTTTGAGGACGGTAAAAGATAGCGAAACATGGTTTCAATAAAAAATACATTGTTCTTTCATGTCTATAGAATTGCGAAATAAAGTATCACTGATATTTATGGTGTAATAATTCTTTTAAGAAAAGTGGGTCATTTCTCACGGACTTATCCTAAACAATCCGGAATTGAGGTAATAATTATTTGGATATAAGTAGTAGAAATTCAACATTAACAGTAATATTAAAAATACTTTAGTATTTAAAGGTTGAAGGATTATTTATGATAATTCTCGTGTTTAACTTTGGTTAATTATTTACATTAGCGATTCTTCACTGATTTGGATGACCTTCAAACGTGTTGTCGGTAAATTGATATTGAACAATTTTTGTCTATACATGTGAACCATGTATTGTTACTCAGCTTCAAGTTCTCAGACATTAAAAAAATTCTTTGACAATTGTTTAGAAGTTTCACAACTTCGTTGAATTAAGTGACCTTGAAATATGTTGCTAGGGACATCATAGCAAACAACTTTCTCCACAAATTACTGCCGCTCTACCTGAGTTTCCAAGATATTCGCAACAATATGTTCAATATTACTTCCTACAGTTTATATATTGCATTTGAGTTAATTTGGGGCTAGTTGACTTAATGTATCGTATCATATGTTTTTCTTCACTTATTGAAGTGCTTTTACATAATAAGTTAATTATAATATTACTATCATTTGGATAGCAGGGATTGGTGTTAGTGGGGCTAGTTTTTACCAAGTGAAGGTGTAGTGTAGTAGTTACCAAGCACAGTATCACTCTGTTATTGCAAAAATCAAACAAAAAGATCTTGAAAAAAGTCACCAAAAATAAATTTCGCTTATTTAATCGTTAATATAGATGCTAAATTAGTTGAAATATAATTGGTTCCGAAAAATTGTTGAAATTTTGCGGTGCAAAGAAGAAGAAACAATTAAAAAATAAGGAATTCAATTAAATAATTAAGAATACGTACTTATATACTATAAATAAATTTCTAAGTTAACTTTAGATCAGTTTATGTCCACAGAACAAATGAAACCATGAATTCCAAAACAGTACAAGTCAACTAATTAACATTTCGACAGAGTCAATTTTTCTTCATTTTCGTTCGTTCATTCATTATCTATTTCAGTATATTTTCATTACGTGTACATTTAAAATATTATTAAATAGGCCTGTGCAAGGGGATAACAGTTACATCAGTACCTCATACGGATAACGTTAAAAAGTGGACTTATACAGGCTTAGAATTTACGACTTTAAATATTTACTGTTTAAATATGGTTTAGTAATTTAGTTTTAACACTAAACGTACTGGTACTTTGCATACACTAATTCCTAAAGTAACCAGTCGAAAACTGGTTACAAAACAAAAGTAAACAAATTAGACGATACATTCTTAGTAGAAATAGAAACAGAAAGATAGCTAACAATTAGAAAACTGTGTAATTAAACAATATAGAAATTAATACAAAGTTAAATAATAGAAAGAAACGCAGAGTTTTAAATCATATTTTAACCAATTAACTGCGTTTGATGAGTATACACGCCATCGTAAAGTTTATCTTATTCATCTTAATTCTTTCAACGATGAATTCTTTATTTTTTTAGATAAACACGTAATTTTTCTTTCTTTTTCATAAATTTTCTTTGTTTCACGCGAATGAAAATCGCGTAAATAGAGCCTTTCGGTACAAGAGAAAACAAAATATTGAAGAGAAAAGCTGGTATAAGTGTTAGAAATACATAATAATGACATTTTAGAAAACAAAGGTATATTTCATTCGCTGTTACTAAATTCAGATCGTGCGTAAAAACTATCGCGTAAATAGTGTTCCAATTTACCGCGTCAAAAAGAGGCTCACATGAAAAAAGTCCGCGTAAATCGAGGGTTAGGCGTACTTCATTTTTTGATTTTATTGCGCGCAAAACGAGAGTTTTGGAAATCGATTCCATAGTTAACAGGTTAGAACCAGTTATTTGATCGATCGCAGCACGTTTAGTGTTAAAACGGTTAATTTGGTGTCGACGTACGCATTGATTAGTTCCACTTACCTGAGTTGGAACCTTTTGTATCCATAGGCGGCGGGGGGTCATCAAGTGGCCGGTACATGGTATCTTCCGTCTGAGGAGGCGGGATGCTGGAAAAAGAAAGGCCCGGTTACCGTTATTTAAATATCGATCAATGTTGTCACGGCTTCTAACGACACGATCGTTAGTGTGTGATTTTTATGGGAATCAATTTTCCGTGGATCAAGCGGAAACACTGTCGCGTTGGTTCCTTGACAAACCGGTAAATCGTCCAGCTCATAGCTTGCATAATCGATGGACACGTGAAGCTCTTGTTAACCAAACGCATTGCCCGCAAAGCTAATTCATTGTGAACCTCTTGCCTTATAACAACGTGTCAGACTCGTAGTGAAAATTTTCAACATGATTCAATAAACTTAACACATTGCGTACTGGTAATGAGAAATCTCGTTTTTATATAAAGACACTTAGCTATGCAACTTCGCTAATTACCACAGCATTGAAAAAAATATAACATTGGATTCGAATTGATTATCTATTTAAAATATATTACATAACAATATGATATCTGAGTTTTTCTATGTATAGTGATATAAGTTGACCTCACTGAAAATTGCCATCAATTGTTAAATAGTACTCGATGTGTTAAATAGTACTCGATTCGTTCGATTTCAAAGTAAATATTATTCTTCTGGAATCAATTATTATACTTAAGAGCAAATATAAACATACAATATGTCTACAATTTATCTCTTTTTCCAGTAAATTATTAGTAATAAAGTAGTATCGATCAGAGTTGAGGAAGAAATTATAAGGCAAGAGGTTAACACCTTACTGACCGGTGGAATTGTTTACAGAAAATATCTTTCTACTTTAATATGCATACTGTATTCACATATAATATGCTAAAATGATTTAAATGATTCAAACTGACTAATACAATCTGGCTCTTATAAAGATTCTATTAATGTAAGTACAAATACAACGAAACTCATAAACATCTTGGACCGATAAACACGAGTATACTCGTGACCGGTCAGCAAGGTGTTAACACTTAGCCAACCAAATGGGGAGATTTCCTACTTTTCTCTTACCAAGACATTGCCATTTATTACATTCTTATTTAGTAACTCTTGAACTGGGAATATTTGCAATACAATAAATACCTTTCTTGCTTTTGTAAAACACAATTTTTAATAAAATCTATTGAATGAGTTCCATTAACCAGCTAACTGAGTTTGATTACACTACACGTCATCTTGAAGCTTGAAGTGATACTAATTCTATCAATGACGAATTCTTTAGTTTTCAGATAGATATCTAATTCTTCTTCGTTTCGCTTTGGTTTTTCATTAAAGCATAACCTAGCTGCATTCGTCCTGCATCTGACGAGTACACACTTGATTTTTTGATTTTTGAAACAGAAAGTTTTCTCGCAGAACGAGAAATTTTTGAAACTCAATTCCACAGTCGAAGTAAATGAAAAAGGTTATAGTTACAGTAGCTCTGATACTTTCATAATTATAGTTATAGTCTTTTTTAGGCAGTTTTCTAACTGTTAACAAAACCGTTTTTTTTTTATTTATCAGCCGCGTCGAGAATCCAACGTGCTGCCGAATTTAAATTTACTTTTTAACAAATCGGTAGCCCGCGTTGACAGTAACAAAGAAACACGAGTTTATTTGTATAAGCGTGCGATACGAATGAATTAATTTTAAATAAAACAACAGAAGCCATCGTTAAGTTTCAAAGGAAAAATATTATTGGCCCCCCTCCATTTTAACGAGTTCAAACCACGTGACTTGGGGATCGTTACGAAAGACTCGAGTGCCCCTCGAACAACGATAATTCTTAAGTTTAATTCTCAGTCACCCGTTTCCCCTTTGCACAGATTTTATATACACGTACACAGAAAAGGGATGCGGAGGGGAGACATCGTTATTACGAAGGACGTTTGAAATTACCGTGCCTGGGGCTACAAAAAAAGCCACGGTCGCGCGGGTTGCCCCCTAATGAACTTCCTTTGTCTGGCAATCAATTGAATTTAGATGTACTGACGTATCGCAATGTCATTAACGAAAGAGACTCCTTTTCGATAATTGTGTTCGCCTTTCATGACATTCTTGTTTCATATTAGATGCTGGAAAAAGTTACGTAATATGAAATGTCGGATTTTTCTTAGTCACCAATGTTTGTACTCCCGCTGTTATTATTCCTTTGTTTTCCATATAACCTCTTAACCACTTGCCTTCTAACAACGTGTCAGACTTGTGGTAAAGATTTTCAACGTGATTTAACAAACAAATATTACTTGATTCATTCGAAGTCAAAGTAAATATTATTCTTCTGTAATCAATTATTATACTTAAGAGCAAATACATAGACATAGATGTGCCTACAAGTTTTCTGTTTTTCCAATAAATTATTAATGACAAGGTAGTTGTATTGATCAGAGTTGAGAAAAAAATCATAAGGCAAGGAGTTAAACAGTTTCATTGTCGATTATCAGAGTAACTTTTTGCAAAAACGTTTTTCCAAATTGTGCATAGTAACTATTTCTTGCATCATTTTTGAAGACATAGATACCGTTAACATTCATGTAATTTTCTTATATGAATTCAAACTTGGAAATAATGTTGCAAAAACCGCTGAAATATATAAATATGTACCATTTGTGGACAATACTGCCAATGAAAGAACAGTGCAGCGTCGATTTGCAAAATTTCATTTCGGTGATATTTCTTTGTAAAATGTGGGTGGTAAATTCGAAACAGTAGTTTATAAGGATGTCTTTACAATTTATTCTTTCCAAATATTCAAAATTCTTTAATAAAGGAATATATTTATTAAAAATGCGTTGGCAGGAGTGTATTGAATCGAATAGAGCATATTTTTATTGAAACGTTTTTTAGAACATTAAATGAGGATTCCTTTTTTCTGCAAAATCCGACATTTCATATTAAATAATCAAATACAATAAATTGAAGTTCGATTTCAACCAGTATTTTATTAATTTAATAAATGAAGTTGGTATTAGTAGCAAGTTATGTTTATGGCGTCGGTAGCAAATTAAATGAAACTATTTTATTAAAACGTTCTATGTGTTTAAATTACTCTGTCGAAAAGAACTTTTTCCGGTACCTAATAGCGCGATGTTAAAAAGAACATCTGGGTGGCTGTGGTGAAATAGAAATAAGATAAAATGCTTTAGTCAGCGGATCATAATTTTATATGGAATTGTAAAAAATGTTTATACCTTTTGTTGTTACCAGATTACCGTTTGGGAAACATGTTCAAATAAAAACTAATGATAAATTCTAAAATTTTTCTTAGAAAATTTGAAATAACAATATGGTTTAGCCTTTATGAAAATGGGAATTGTGTGAGATTTTATTGGGTTGTAAACGAAATATACTGTTTTACTTGAATAAGTGTAGTCTCATTTTGTCGTGCTTTCAATTCATAAGTCTAATTTATTAGCTTCGTTTAGGAAAGCGATTTTATTCGCGCCCGGATGATCCAGAATACCTAGTTCTGCGTTTCTTTGCGGCGAGAAGCATCAGTTGCAAAGACAATTTGTCCGTCTCAGTTACAAATTAAATTACTGCGCGAATCTCGTCCGCCGAGGGTTTGAAAAATGTTGGGAGTGAAGAAAATTCCACGGGAACGAAGATTTGTCGCTATTTTCTTCCTCATACTGCTGCGAGAAATGTGGTTAGCGACGGGGACACTCATCTGTATCATTCTGATGATTTTATTTAATGGACAATAGTAATGACAAAATAGTACATTCTTGAACAGTAATTTTTTTATAACTTACGACTAATCTTTATTACCTATATGTAACAGTAAAAAATTAAACATTATAACATTATTACATTGCACTGTTTATTATTTTTCCAAATTTATTTCAAGTTTTTCTTGTTAGGACTGCTAAATACACTTGACCTTTAAAACCATCTTTAAAGTCTTCGAACTGTGAAGATCGCACAGAAAAAGATAATAAGAATATCTTTATTACAGTGTTCTGAACAGGAATAATGGTGCGTGGTTTCGCAAATAAGAGGGAATGAAGTACGCACGAGAAACGCAAATAGAGATAAAGTACGATGGGATAAAATGAAGAATAAATGTGCCGTGCAACGTTCGAGTTCAGCAGATAACGAACGTTGTTATGAAACTTAGCCCTATTTCTCCGATGCTCGGTCAATCCCATAAAATTTCCTCGAGGTTGCCCTCCACCTCTTTTATCGACGATGGTGCCACCCAGCCCATTATGTGATTCTTATATCGAAGAACCGCAATAAAGGAATACCGACACCATTTCTGTTTGGCCCACCATGTGTAATTTCCCGGTCAACAAATCTCCCAACTACCAATTTTATATCTATAATATACCTAATCAGAACAAGTCGAAAGAAAGCATTATTACGAGCTAGCGATCGTGTGATCTAATTGTACTCGCGACACGAACTTGTTCGTGCCAAGTCAGAGCTAAGTGAGATTCGTTTCTTTTCATTATTATCCTCTGTACTTGTAGTCTGACGTAAAAACAACGCTAAACAAGTGTTATGGTACGATATGTATTTACGTACACGCGTCAGAAAAATGTTTAAACCAAATAACAAATGTGGTCTGTAGTTTTAACGAAATGATTCATAATTTCAATGTTTTATTAAAAAGTATAACAAAATGGTAAAACCGAATTAACCTAGTATTTAAACATGTAACTTTAAAGGTTGTTTAATGCAAGAATATTTACTCCACGTTCAGAGGTTTAATGTGCTTTGTATGAAACGTAAAATTATGGTCGTCACAAATGGTTGATTCTGTAAAATACGTTTCGCAAACTTATTTAATAAAGTAATAAATATTTATAATAATATACATATTTTTCTTTGTAGTTCGTTGCAGAAATTTGTTTCACAAAGTTTCATACCAGTGGTGATTGTGATGAAAAACAAAGATGAGGAATTACAAAAGTGGCTGCTTTCCACCATTTGTGTTTATCTATCATCACGAGTGACAGGTAATTTAAATTTATTGTTTTCTGTCACTAATAATAATAATGTGTTACGACAAAAAATTAATTTTAATGAATAGTAATGTC